GCCAACGCACGCGCGGATGCCTGCGGATTCCCCTGCGGATGCGGAAAAACCCTTGCGAAGGACCACTGCGGATGCCAAAAACCCCCAAAAAATAGCCGCGGATGCATTTCCGGCGTTTGAGAAATACAAAGTAATAGAAAGCAACCCGCCCTGCGGATGCCCAATGGGGTGTGTGGCACATTGTATGGGGGGGAGGGGGTTTGCTGCCGTTTCCTCCCCGACGCGAAGTGCCTGAGCACACGTTTTGTGCGCACTTGGCGTGAAAAGAAGGATGATGCAGGCAATGCAATCTGGTTGAGGAGAAGCAGACTTGTGGCAAGGGAATACACTTGGTTGCAGCCCGACAGAGAAGCCTTGTTCTCACCGGCTTCCTCAAACATTGCAACCAGGATCTTGCCGATTTGTTTTCTTGCTTTGAGGGAACATCAAGAGACTTTGATGCTTGCAATTGATGTGAAGGATGCCTTCTTGACAGTTGCACAAGAGCAACCCACACGTGTTAGGTGCACCGACGCAAGTGGAATCTCGATTTCCTACAGTCTTGGCCGAGTTCTGCCAGGTCAACGTGATGGTAGCCTTTTATGGCACAAAGATCTGGTGAAGTTTCTCGAAAGCAGCAGCTTGAAGATGGCCGAGAATGAAGCCTACCCGTCAATGTTGCGCTCAGCCAAAGGTGATTGTTTGATGTTGGTGCACATCGATGACATCCTCATCGTGGGCTCTAGGAAGACGGTCCTAGAGGAGCTCATTCCTTCATTGGAGGCGAAGTACACAATTTCCATTGAAATCATGTCTGGACCAGGTGATGAGGTGACGTTTTTGAAGAAAACCCACCAGTTGTTGTCAGATGGGAGGATGATCATTCGAATTCATCCCAAACACTTGGATCAGCTTTGCAAGTTGCTTCATTTGTCAAAACGTTTGCAGAACAAGAGATCTCCTGGCCACAGCGAAATTGAAACTCCCGACACTACTGAAGAGTTGAACCAACACGATGCTTCAGTGTATCGATCCTGCATTGGGATCCTCCTTTACTTGTCTCCAGATTTGCCGCAATGCCAATACGTGATCAGATACCTCTCAACATGTGCATCGGACCCACTCACAAAGCTATGGTGGTCTTGAAGCACCTGGTTGGCTACATGGCAGGTCACTCTGACCAATATGTTTCTTTGAAATGGAAGGGCATGCACTCAGGTTTGTTGCGCGACTATGAATGTGAAGAACCTGTTCTGGAAATCTTCAGTGACGCAGACTGGGCTGCAGACAGAAACACACGCAGATCGGTTTCTAGCAGTGCAATCTTCTATGGTGGATGCCTTGTCTACTCGTCTTCAAGGACTCAGAAGATAGTGTCATTGTCGAGCGCAGAATCTGAAACATACGCTGCCGCTTCAGCTGTCATGGATGCCATTCTCATCAGAACTATTCTTTGTTGGTTGCTCCAAGTCCGCATTCTCATGTACTTGTACTTGGATTCATCTGCAGCGTGTGGAGTCTTGTCACGTCGAGGTGTTGGAAGACTCAGGCATTTGAGCTGCAGGGCACTTTGGCTCCAGAACTTAGTTGTTGAAAAGATGTTGCAAGTCAAAGCAGTTTTGGGAACAATCAATCCAGCAGATGTTTCAACAAAACGACTTTCAATTGCCAGGCTGGAATCATTGACGTTTCTCTTTGGGCTTTGGAGCAATTCACAAAACCAACTGGTAGGATCAGACGACCCGGGAAGAATCTTCAGACATTTTCCACAGCAAGCTGCATCAACTTCAAGTCGCAATTCACAACTTCGAGTTTTGATAGGCGCCTTGAGCCTGCTAACCCTTCAACTTCAAGGGTGTGACGCGATGGCGACAGACATGCTGGAAATCCCTTACGTGTTCACAGCAGCATGCTTACTTGCTCTGGATGTCACAGTGTACACATGTCAGAAAGGGCACGCCGGATAGCCCGAGTTTTGACTCCACAGATGGCTCTGACGATGCTGACACAGCAAGCATCATGACAGAAGCCACGGAAGACACTGACGATTTTCCTGCTTTCTCTCCAGAAGGGATGATCAGTTGGATGTTCGAAAGGTGCAATCGACGTTATGAAGATGCAACTCAGGCTGGTGACGCAGTTCGTGCACAAGCCTACAATCAACGTCGAGCACTCCTTGCAGATTTCATGAACTTCATTGGAGCTGCAAATGACTCTGAACGAGATGCAGCAACAGAGATGTTGGATACAATCGATGATATTAGCAGTCATGAAAGCAGTCCCACAAAGGACATGACCGAAGGTGAGGACAACCGCCCTCACCGCATGAGACTTGGCCACCTGGCCTTGGTGAATCTACAGGGCCTCATGGCCACACAACTCCAAGGATGCAGTTGGGATGGAACTACAACCTCAGATAGCTCTTGGTTTGGAACAGCATTTCTGATGACCTGGACTTTGCTGTTGGTTGGGTACTCATGGTACATGATGCGTCGAAGCATGGACTTCAGGTACAGTCCACCACCATTGTTGCCTGACACCTTGTCCAACTTCATGGGACCACAGGTGACTCATGAGTATACAAGCCTGGAAGGCCTTGTGACATGGACGCTTGTTCGAGTACGAGGGCGATTGCGCAGGGCCACAGAGAATGGGAACATTGGTGCAGCAATGAGGTACCAGCAGATGCAACGATGGTTGGAAACATGCTTGCATCACCTGCCAACTGCAAGCTCAGAAGATCGAGAAAAGACTCTGAACTCTTTGAATGAGGAGTACGACTTGTCAGACGATGACAACTCACCCACATATGGCCTTGGAAAAGATGAACGTGGACTCCTTTCGACAAGCCACGAGGAGATCCACAGGTGCATTATCAGACTTCTGGAACTCCAACGAGTTGAGGTGACAATGGATCTACTGCGCACCTTTGCAGAGATCTTCAAAGCCCCAGAAGTTCCTGAACCTGACTCAGACGAGTCGATGCGTGAAGAAACAAGATCAGAAAGATTGAGGAGGTATCAGAACGCAGAACAAGGAGAAGTCAGCGATCCAGATGCTTGGGCCTCCTTGCATTACGGACGGCCAGCAACAGAATCAGCTGACGAAGCAACGACCGAGGAACTGCAAGAGTTTTGAAAGAACTCAAACAGTGAGAGAAGCCAAATTTTCCAATGACGCCACACGTGTTTGTCATTAGGATGGGACACAGGATTCTCATCATTGGCAACAGCGTCGAAACAGTTTCACAAAACAACTGCTCCAATAGAGGTGACAACACGGACTGACAAGAGTCCTAAGGAGCAATGGCAGTAGAGCAGCAAAGCTGCTAACTGAGGTGGGGTGAATGTTATTTACTCACCTTGGACTCAGTTGACATACCATGTGCATACAGTAGTTCACAGCAGTTTGATGTCATTCACGACATGTTCAATTGACTGTGCATTCTTGAGGCGCTTTCGGTTCCAAAAAGATTTGCAGCCAGGAATAGGCGAAAGGATCGTCCGGGAGGCTTAGGAAAGAGGAATCGAGCTTTCGATCCGAGGAGAATCTGATGAAGAAGGACCAGAACAGCCAAGTGACCAGGATTCCGACTGGTATCCTGGAAGCGACGATGATGAAGCATATGGAGATAGAGCTCAATGGATGGATGTGTAGAGGCACATCCAAGAGTATGAAAGGGTGTATGGCCCACTGGTCAGCCCTGAACACTCTCCGGCAGCAGAGGTACCAGCAGCTGAAATCGGAAAAGTACAGCCTGAAGAAGAGCCAGTGAGAGCCGGGCAATAGCTAGGCGAAATTGGCCAACGAGCCAGGCAACTGTGGTCAGTTGAAACAGCAGCAACAAAGGCTGCAGGTATCAGCTGAGGCGGGGTGTCAGTTGTTTAGAGAGGTAGCATGACCCCTGCATGTAGCAAGGATGACAAGCACAGGTTCCGGAAAAGGTTCCCGAGAAGGTCTGCGAGGCTTTGGTGCAGAGGCAGGTCAAGTTCAACAAGGTTCCGGAGAAGGTTCCGGAGAAGGTCTGGGAGGCTTTGGTGCAAAGCCAGGTCAAGTTCAACAGGGTTTCGGAATAGGTTCTGGAGAAGGTTCCGGGAGGCTTTGGTGCAGAGCCGAAGAAGGTTCGGGAGAAGGTCTGGGAGGCTTTGGTGCGGAGCCAGGCCAGATTCAACAGGGTTCCGAAAAGGTTCCGGAGAAGGTTCTGGGAGGCTTTGGTGCATAGCCAGGTGAGGTTCAACAGGGCCAAGGTTCCGGAGAAGGTTCCGGAGAAGTCCCAGAGAAGGTACCGGAGAAGGTCTATAGGAAGCTTTGGGTTTTGGTGCAGCCAAGTCAGGTTCAACAGGGTTCCGGACAAGGTTCCAGCGCTTGGCTTCGCAGCACGCTTCAGATAGATTTATAAAAATAAAACGTTGCGGCTGGTGGGGATATCACCAAAGTTTTTTTTCAAACGCATGAACCCAAATGTAACGAGGCTGAACATGGGCGACAACGCTGCGGCATGTACACGTGGCATGACAAATGTTTGCGTGAAACCCCGTGCATTCTAGTGGGTTGAAATCCCGATATGTTTCGCGTTGTTTGCTTGAATCAGCTTGTCTACGGTAGCTGACAAGGTGGCCCAAACCACAATTGTGTACACATCCAGTTTTGATCCACCAGCCAAATTTTTTTGGAATCGCAAATTTGGCATTGGAAATGCAAACTACAAAAGGGCCCAAAGGAATATAAATTTGTGGGGCATTAAAATAAAATGGGTTGCCATTAAATATCAATAGACTAGTTTTGTACCCTGGCAAAATTGAACCAAAATCTGCAAAACAATTGGATGGCAACCATGGTCCCATGATTTTCGAATCGAGTGTCGTTTCAACCAACCCACTGATACGTATAACGTATAAACTAAGTTTTTTTTTTTTGGAACAACTGGATGCATGGTTTTTGAATTTTGTTTCAAAAACCCATTGGATCTTACAAAGCTCCAATTTCCATTGTAATGAAATCCCAATCTTCACAGTTCCCAATCTTCGAGTGCCATGGATCCCTCCACGGTGGCCGCTGCTACCCTGGCGGGCCATGCTGGCCTAACGCAACCCGCACAGCCAGCTGCTTCGCAAGGAAAAAAAAATAAGGCGCTTGGTGGGTTCCCAGTTCTTGGTTTGGTTCCACGGGGATTTAAGATGGTTTAACCAACCTAAGTGACATTTTTGGTATAAATGATGGTTGATGGGTGGGGTCATGGTTGTTAGTTTTGATTTTAGGGCCTCCAACGATCTGGAGATTCAATGTGAACCCCACCATGGCAAAAGGTCACAATTTTCTGCAGGCAATTTTGACGTATTGATTTTGAACCAAACCCATTTCAGTTTCGGATGCCTTTTGACCCGTAAACAAACCCAACTACGGGAATTTATCCTGCCAAAATACGGGGTCGATAAATGCGATTTTTGATATTTGTAGGTAAAAACAAACCCGATTTGGCCGGGCAATGGGTTGTTTCGGAGCAACACATATGGGAAGTGTAGCATGTTACATCTTGGTGCGCTATCTTACATGGGTTACATTTTGGATTAACAAATTCCCCACCGCCACCTACTCACCTGTATGGGACATCATTTGGGGATGGAAAACAAATGGAACACATGGATGCCACCTTAGTTCTCTATTTCTCTTGCTTCTATTCCCAAGTTCAGTGATATCTGCCAAACTTCACCCAGGAACCCCCACATCTGGCTGCTACCTTTCAGTAAACATGGCAATGGACAATTCCCCATAGACCTCCATAGAAATAGAGGATTCCAAGCCTGCCATGTTTGACCCCCTGTGCCAGGTGGACCCCTTTGGTGCTGTGGTGACCGGCTTGATACACCACATGGAAGGTGTAGCTCACCCGCCGCCTCCACCACCCGTGCCCTGTCAGGTTGAGTCATACAGCACATTCAAATCATAATTCCAATAATTGGTATATGATTTTATGATTATGATGATAAATACATTAAATAACATGTTATTCTGATAAATACATGTAGTCGCATGTACATTGAATGTCATTCTTTCGATCGGATTCTTGAAACACATGTTTTCAAGGGATGGATTGCGTATGTTCGAGGCAAACTACATTTGAGGCAAACCACATACCCTCTGGTAATTTAACATGGCTGTTGAAAATCACCATTTTAAAAATAGGTAAATCATCAATGGGTCAATGGGCCATTTTCCATAGCTATCTTAGTTTACCAGAGGGTTCTACGATATCATTTGTTTTTTTTCCAAAGAACTCGTTTTGTGCACTGCCGTAGATTGGACCCTTCACAATCGCCGCCCAGATTTGGGGGGCCGAATTGGACGATCCAGAGCTGGGGCCGAAAATTGCGCTGGCGGCAGAGGAAGCAATGAAAAGCATCAAGGCGACACCTCATGGATGATTCGAGGGCATGGATCGGTGTTGATCTTCCAATTCTATAATATTCTATATAGATAGCGCATCATTTTCAAAATTCCGAGAAATGGATTGTAGAATTAGTATCCCACTTTATTTTCTTGGCCAACCACTACGTTTCTACGCGTCCCAGGCTGACTGGGGTCCGGTCTTTGTCTATGGCCCCATGCTACTGCCTGCCGTGTGGGGCGAGTTGATTGGACGCGTCCCGGAAATGGCGCCTGGACGATAAACCAGCCATATTTTGATGGTTTATACTATTTATACTATTTATACTATTTATACTATTTATACTATTCATACTATTCATACTATTCATACTATTCATACTATTCATACTATTCATACTATTCATACTATTTATACTATTTATACTATTCATACTATTCATACTATTCATACTATTCATACTATTTATACTATTTATACTATTTATACTATTTATACTATTTATACTATTTATACTATTTATACTATTTATACTATTTATACTATTCATACTATTCATACTATTTATACTCTTTATACTATTTATACTATTTACACTATTCATACTATTTATACTCTTTATACTATTTTTACTATTTATACTATTTATAGTATTTATACTCTTTATACTATTTATACTCTTTATACTATTTTTACTATTTATACTATTTATACTAATTATACTATTTACACTATTCATACTATTTATACTCTTTATACTATTTTTACTATTTATACTATTTATACTATTTATACTCTTTATACTATTTTTACCATTTATACTATTTATACTATTTTTACTATTTTTACTATTTATACTATTTATACTATTTATACTATTTATACTATTTATAATATTTATACTATTTATACTATTTATACCATCCATTTAAATGGTAAAATTGGGGATGGTTTACTGTTCCTTTACGAACATTAATGGACATCAATGGACGCATATGGACACTATTCGCAACGAAGACGGTTTCCAGATTGGGTGTGTTTCAAACCTGTCATATACCATCATCATGGTGATGTCTCAGATTGTCCTCTTTTTGTCCTGTGAGTGGTGTGGTACGTTGCCTGTAGAGAAATTGTAAGGATCCTGTGTCGAAAGGTGTAGTGAACAGGGATTGTTGGAAGAAGATTTGAATAAGCCAAGATTTTTTCGACAGTCAAAACAGACCCTGTCATACTTGAAAGAAAAAATGTGGCAGGGGAGAATTGTTTTTGCGTTTTTGCTTACGAAATGGTTGTATGAGCAAGATGCCACGCCAATTTTATCCAAATATGATCTTGTTTCTTGTAGATTTCATGCAGTCCAAGTTGCTTCCAGGGCGGAAGTGCAGAGGTTTCTCACATCGGCGCTGGCAATGACTCCAGTCTCCCTAAATCTCCCTATTCAACTGGTTGATCTTGGCATGAGATGCAGCCTGTAGCGCCGGCGCACATATCACTGGTCAGGTTTCTCCACAAAGGTAAGGTCTTCAGCAGCAAAAACGCAGGCTGAAACGCCGGCCCCAAATGGAGGATCAACATGGGTCAGCAGCAAAAATGGACACTTTTTCTCCCATTTTCATCAATTGGATGACATGGCCACACGGCCAAGGCACCAGCCAAGATCTTTGGTTTCCTGCGCCGGGGGCTCATTTGCTCGCCCGAGGCGGCTCTGGTAGAGGCGCAAACCGTGAAAGATGAGGTGAATTCATGGGATTTAACATGATTTAACCATGAAAAAAGGGTGAAATCTGTGAAATTTAACCATGAAAAACACCTAAAACCTATTGGTTGGGGGAGAACGCAACCTTCTGCTGTGACGGGAACATATACTAAATATTTTTGTGGGCATCATGGATGGCCATGATAAAATGGGAGGTTTTCATGGGAACATGATCTATGGATGGGGTATTGTTTTGGTTATTTTCCTGCTGACAGGTTTGCTTACCACAGGGTAAGCCCTTTGGTTTCCTTCTGAAAGATTTTGCCTTGGATGTCAGTCTCAAATCTGCTGTAAGGAGTTTATGAATGGACGTATTGTAGATGTTTGAAAGTGATTTGTGACGGACACACCAGCCAATGCAGTTGCTTAACTAAGGGAGTCAAGACAGTTCTTCAGCCAATGATTCTCCCAACGCTTGCTAAGACATGCTCAAACTTTATCCACAGCATAGCATTCACAAGGTCACAAGCTACTGAGACTGCAGTGTTACGGTTAAATCCCAACATTTCACCATTTTTGATGGTTAAACCCGCACCTTTCATGTCAGAGTTGGCTGTATCTTCCATGCCTGGCACAGGAAGAGACCTCCCTGGCCGTTGGGCAGGCGAGGCGGATGATGATAGGCACACAAGTGGACAGCACACTGGGTATGCAACAACCAATAGCGTGGGTACACACCAGACGTGTAGTGTGTACGGTGTATATATTAAGCACACACACACATGCTTTATATACTATATATGTATATATATATATGTATATGTATATATATATATATACATATATATATATACATACATATATATATACATATATAGTACATATATATATATATGTATATATATATATATGTATATATATATGTATATATATACACACTGTATGTACACATCTTGTACATACATGTGATATATGCGCATATCACACACATATGATGTTACATTACATTTGCTTGCGTGTATTGAAGACATATCACACCATGTGTCTGTGATTTTGTACATCTTGTGTTATCCATAGATTTGCTGGCTTCACCCGAGAGATTTTGACACGTCGACTATATAAAGTATTAGTCACTCATTAATTTTTACAATCATTGTAAAGTATTAGTCACTATATAAAGTATGAGTCACTCATTAGTTTTTATAATCATTGTAAAGTATTAGTCATTAGATAAAGTATTAGTCACTATATAAAGTAAGGATCTTGTAGTAAAGTAATTTTTTGACAATCATTGTTTTGGTATTTGGACAACAAGGGTTCTTCTTGCCCTTCGAATGGATGGTCGGTCCATTCGGCACACCAGGTGGTCTATGGCCTTCTCCCATGGGAACGAAAGTTGGTGGATGTCATGATGGAGGACCTGGCACGGGGATGGGCAATGCATGGCTGTTATTGAGAAAATCATCATGGTCAGTCTATGGAATGGCTATAGGAAAATGTTTCATGGCTATTTATGGCCATTTTGGAAGCATTTCCATACATTTCCATAGGGTTGCTTCTTGTTCGCAAATCTACCAAATGTCAATGACCCCCAAATCCACGGTTGTGTTTTGGCAAGGAGGATGCAGCATCAAGGTTGTATGAGGAATTGCGGACTCTGGCCCAGAGATCGGGCAACCCGTTGACAGGACACCTTTACCATGACGAAAGGCTTCGTAAGACTCATTGAGGATGGGATGTGGCAGGGATCGAGGTATATGGCCGCCTACGACTTAGCCATGAAACCCTAGATGGTTGGCAGGTGCTTTCGGTACTTGTTATGGCCGAAACAACCATCAGCTACGGGGCCCACTCAACCGATGGCTGCTCATTTAATCCCATCCCAGGCATGGCAAGTGATATGTCGGGGCTGATCCCATTTCATAAAACATAACGTACGTATGTATACACTTGTACATAACAGGGTGACACCAGGCTCATCGATGTCATCGCCCCCAAGTTCCAACGATGCCGAGCCACAGCCCAGCCGCAGGATGAGGAGCAGCAAGACCTGGACGTGACGCTGTATTTGTGGCGAGAAGACTTCATGGACGGGGTCACAGGTACGATGCTTGTGATGTGACAGCTTAGCAGGCCCCCAAAAAGATCCAAGTTTGTAAAATCCGAATCTAAAATAGTGGTCAACGACTTTTCTATCTTTTTGAGGTACATAGATAGGTCCTTATGTTTGGATATGGGATACCATCCATTCATGCACAAGGCTTACTTTTCGGACACTACATTTTTCCTGAACAAATCTTCGATGATTACGATGTTTTCATCCTGAGAAAATACAAACGGATTATCTGGGGTCTCGAGACCATTTCTTGACTTGAAAAAAAACATGCAATTTGAAACCCCGGAAGAGGTTAAGGATGGGTGTGAGGGTTGGGGTGACTTAACTTCTTGGGATTTTCCATGAAATAAACCATCCATTGATAGGGTACCCCCATGACTATGGAAACCCCCATATACCACTTGGACAACTTGGAGTGGCCGTTGCGCAGATGAAGACTGGTCCATCGAGACCTTTGAGGTGGGCCGAACGACCTTGATGGCAGCCCGCAGACTATAGATGCCATAGATGCCTTTGGCAGGCCTTAGGGTGATCTACCAGTTAAATGCTATCAACTGATATCACAATATACATATATATATATTTATATATATATAAATATATATATATATATAAATACATATATATATAAATACATATATATATATATAAATACATATATATATAAATACATATATATATAAATACATATATATATATAAATACATATATATAAATACATATATATATATAAATACATATATATATATAGATGGCCAATTGCATCCGATTGCTATCTACTTTTTTTTTCCGGATTTTAAGGGTTGTTTATCGCTGGGTATCAACACATTACAATTTCCAGTTACTGTACAACTTCCAACCAAGCACAGCCCGCGCTGGAGGAGGAGTGGTTGGATCAGTACCTGGACATGTGTTGCTCGGTTTGATGACTTATCTCTTGGCAATTTGGGGACATACATAGGACTCTAATGATTACCAGTAGTACCGCACAAGGCGGTGGCGGAAGTTTCAAAAATGGAAAACCTATAGGAGAGGTGAGTTGGTGTGACGCAAAAATGGCAGAGCGAACCCACTGATGGATTGAAAGGTGGTTGAGTGTTTCTCCCTTTCTGTCTCTCTTTCTCTCTTTCTCTTTGTGTCTCTCTTTCGCCATCTATCTACAGAGCTACCTTTCTAGCCATCTACCTATCTACCTGTCTATTCATGTATCTACCGATCGATTGTTTATTCACCTATCTATTAAACTGTCTATCTTTCTGTCTATCCAGCCATTCATCCATCCACTTACTTCTCTCTGTTAGTTTTTTTTTTCCGTCCATCTCTTCATCGATCCATGTCCACAGCTATCCATCACCATGTTCTTCGTTCTGTTTCTCTATCGATTCATCCATGCATCTGTCCGTCTACCTCTTCTTCCAGCTATCCATCCATCTATCTATCTATCGATCTATCTATCTATCTATCTGTCTATCTGTCCATCTATCTAGTAAACTATCGATCTATCTCCCTATGTGTCTATCTATGCATCTATTCATCCGTCAAGTTCTCTCTCCACCTGTCCTTCGATCTACCTCTTGACCTGTCGATCAGTCTGTCTAGCCGCCACGTCGACAACAAGACAATGGTGCTAGACTTGTGTTGGCAACATCAAAAACGAAGCAATTCTGCGAGACTTTCTCACTTTTTGCAGTTGAAAACAGCAAAAACGAAGCAATTCTGCGAGACTTCCTTCAAAAATGGAAAGTTGACTGTACAGCTGACGGCCTCGTACCAATGTGTT